CCAGGCTGAGGATAGGCCTTCATCTTCCTGTGTGGTCTGGGGTGGGGGTGGGGGGTGTATAGAAGAGCAGGGGCCAGAGGTGAGGCAGGGAGAGAGCATGCTGGTACCATGTCTCTGGGTTTAAACTCCTCTTGTAGGCCCTGGAGAGTACAGTCATCTTCCACTTGTGCCTCTCCACACCTCTCAACGATGTCTGTGCAATCACAGCTTCCATTTTCTCAGTCTTCCTGCTCTCAGCCTCTCCCCTCCTGCCAGCATCTTCACAGCAAGCAACAGTATAACTTTCACACAACACAATCCTGTCTCTCCATAGATCACGGACCTTCAGTAGATCCCTGTTGTCTCGAAGATAATCCTCTGGTCTGTTTACCTCTCCACCCTCATCTCTCCCCATTGCCTCCATTCTTAGAGTTCTCAAATTTCTGAGTCCAACAAAAGCACCTCATTTCTGATTTCCTTTGCAAAGGCATAGACCTTTGCAAAGGCTGCTCCCTCTGCATGTAACACTCTTCCCTATTCTTTCACTAGGTTCACTCTTCCTCATCAACTCTTATGTTTCCTCCTCTCCAAAGTTCTCCCTGATCCTTCAGGTTGTATCAGTCACTTCTTCTGGACTCCTCCATCCCAAGGTTCCCCCATTCCAGGCTTGATGACTCTGCCTGGGCTTCCCCCATCATAGCCCCGAGCACTCTGAGATGTCACTGTCTGGTGACAAGTCCATCTTCCCCACTGGACTGTGACCTCCCTAGGATCAGGGCCTGGGGCTGAGCCCTCAGCTCCCCAGCATTGTCCAGCACAGAGGTAAGCACAGAATTAGTACTCCTCACAAGTAGGGTTGTGTGACTCCTTGCTGGGTCCCAATGCCAAGTGTCAGCCCAGTTGCCAGCAGGGGTGGGGTAAAATCTGATGAATAAATTAACCAGCTACCAGATGTGGACTCCCAAACTAGGCTCCAGCTTCTCCCTCCTTCATATCCCTGCAACCCCAAGTTCTCCTTCATCTCCCCCTTAGGTCTGTTCCCCTCCAACCCATGAAACTCCCAGAGGCAGGATGGGACCTAACTCTCTTTGCATTAGGAGCTTGGGCTTGCAGAGGTCTCGGTGAATGTTTGTTAAGTGATCGAATGAAGAATAAGATGGATGAATGAGCAGGACCAGCATGGTGGAAGAGGGAGATGGAGGGGAGGAACGATGAAGACAAGATGGAGAGGAACCAAGGATCAGCGCTGGCTTGGGGTCAAGGTGGAGTAAGGAGGACAGGAAGAGCTGGAAAAGCTGAGGTAAATGTTCTAGCTCATGGGAGAAGAGGGTTGGTTGAGAGAGACTGGGATGGGGTGAAAATAATAAGAGAAGAAAAGGGTTAGGCTGAGGTGGAGCTGAGTGGGGGTGGGGCTAGAGAAAGAGGCCGGTGGTAGCAGGAGGAGGAGGTTAGGCTGGAAGGGATGGAGGTTGGGATAAAACGAAGATGGCTCTGGGATGTGGGGGTTAGTGGGGTCCCAGGGAGCTTCAGCAGGTACCTGCAGGGACCATTTGGGGGATGCCGGGTCCTTCCCAAGACCAGCCCCTCCCGAGTCCAACCCTTCAGCCACACACCTCCATCCCGGGTGTGGAAGGAGATGCACGCTGAGAGGGAAGGGCAGGGAAAGGGCTTGGGACCAAGAGCAGGCTCGGGGACAAGAGGGCCAAGACTAGGGGTGAGGGGCGGCGCAGGCCTCGGGCTCGGGCGGGGCCGGGGGCGGGGCGCGCGGGGCGGGGCCGTGCATGGACAGACTGCCACGCGGACCGACTGACGGCCGCATAGGCCCCCTCACCACCATGGTCTCCTGGCCTCCTCAGGTGCTGGCCGCGCTAGACACCTCGATCGCCGTTGTCCTCTTCGCGGATGCCGCCGCCATGGCGACACAAAGGGGAGGGCATGAGCCACGCGCGCGGCAGCTGCAGGCTCCGCCCCCAACCGCTGCCTGTGGCTGAGACGCTCCTCAACCCACGGGGGCGGGCACAGTGGGGATGCCACACAACCCCTCATTGGCTCCACCCTGCCTGAGGCGTCCAGCCCACCTAGCGGCTTTTCATTGGCTTTGACTTGAGCCCTTCCCTGACTGGGACTTGGGGGGGGGGCGGATAAGCTTGACAGTGCTATGACCACGCCCATGACTGCTTTCATTGGCTTTCATTCCCCTGATACATACATCCTTGCTTTTTATTTTTAGAGAGAAGGGAGGAAGAGAAACATCGATGTGAAGATACATTGATGAGTTGCCTATCACACGCCCCGACTGGGGAACTGGCCCATAATCCAGGCATGTGCCCTGACTGGGAATCAAACCTGCGACCTTTCGCTCAATCCACTAAGACGCACCAGTCAGGGCTAAACTTTTCTAACACTTTTAACGCTAAACAATGGACCCTACCCCTTAGTTCACTCAGTGACCACTCCTCTGATACTCATAGTTGTATACTCCCATAGGCTCAGGGCTTTACCTCTCCAAGCAGCTTTTCAAAGTCTCAGTCCACTAAGCCTCATCTTGTCAGTCCTGACCCCAGTCCTTTCCACAGAATACTGAGGACATTCACCCATGGACGGATTCTACTGGCTCAGATGCCTTGCCTGGAACATAACCCTAGGCAGTGTGACTTAGCTCTATCCACTGGATATTTTCCTTGCCTTCCCTACTGCTTATTACAGGCCAGCTTCCAGCCTTATCTCTTTTCCTAGAAATAAGTTTAGCCTGCAATGCCACAACACAGCCATGCCCCCCATAAAGCCAATCCCAATCGTTCCCCGCCCCCGCCCCCCGCCCCCAACTGACTTAGCCAAGTTCAGAAAACATTAAGAGCACCCCTTTCAAGATGACACTCCCACTGGTCATGCCCTCAACGAGGCTCTTAGTCTCAAAAGGTACATCTTTGTTTTTATTTCTTTTTATTTATTGATTTTAGAGAGAGGAAGAGAGGAAGAGAGAGAAACATTGATTTGTTGTTCCACTTATTTTATGCATTCATTGGTTGACGCTTGTATGTGCCCTGATGGGGATTGAACCTACAACCTTGGTGTATCAGAACAACATTCTAACCAACTGAGTTGCCCCACCAAGGCAGAAGGTACATCCTTGATCAATCTACTCATTCATTCAAAAACTTCAATTGCATAATTTGTGGAGACATCAGTAACCAAAACAGGAAGACATAACCTACCCACATAAAACTCAAAAGCTAGTGGGAGAAAACAATGAACAAAATAAACATTTAAAAATATAGATTAGGGGACAAATTCTATGGATACAAACTAAGCAGGTATTGGGGAAATGAAGTGCTGGGGAAGGAGTCATTTTGATAGGAGCTTAAGACTTGGGAAAATTTAGCTTAAGGTAAATAGTCATAAATCTAGCAAGTAATGTGTATGTTAAGTTTTTGTTTCAGTAACTACAGATAAGGCCCATCCTGGTGCCTGAGAATAAGCAGTTGACCTCCTGGGGCACTGAGCTGGAGATTACCTTGTCTGGAGACATCTGTACCAGGAAGAAGCAAGCAACTACCCTTCCCCCTTGGAGGCAACTGTTGAATTTCAACGGCTTTCACTGACACCTTGTTTGCCCTCCCCCAACCCCCTTATAAAAGATCTGGCTGGGAAAGAAAGAGTAAGATGGTTTGTTAGGGTATGAACTCGCCATCTTCTCAGATCGCTGGCCATCTGAATAAAGTGCCTATAAAAGATTCACTGTCATTGCTTAATTGGATTTGGTAGTGACAGGCAGCCTGAACGCTGGTGTCTTTTCTGGTTACAATTTTACAGTTACTCATTTCAATTTATTGAACTTGCAAACTTCACTCCCATCACAGATACTTCCTACATGATGTTCCCTCTACCCAGAGTATTCCTCTCCCCCCACTTCAACCTCTGTAGTGGCTGCAAATTCTTTGACACTTTTCTCATAAAAAAGTAGAGTATACATCCCCTCCCCTTTGAATCTGAGCAGAATTCAACCAATAAAGAATAGTGGATCCTAGCTGGTGTGACTCAGTAGATTGAGTGCTGGCCTGCGAACCAAAGCATTGCCGGTGCAATTCCTAGTCTAGGGCACATGCCTGGGTGACGGGCCAGGTCCCTGGGAGGGGGCGTGTGAGAGGCAACCACACATTGATGTTTCTCTCCTTCTCTTTCTCCCTCCCTTCCCCTCTATAAAAATAAATAAAATCTTTTAAAAAAAAAAAGAATAGTGGAATGAACACTATGTGACTTTCAAGGCTAGGGAGTAAGAGGCAATGCTGCCTCCTCCTTGTCCACTGGAACAACTAGCTCTAGACTTGTTGAGGTATTATGTGAGACACGTGACTTTGCTGAGGTAGTCATGTTTTGAGAAAGCCCAAGCCACAAGAAAATTGTGTACTAGAATCAATAGTTCCAGCTGATCATTTGAGCCCTGGTGCCAGATTGTTTTATGCCACTAAGATTTGGGGGTGGTTTGTATCCCAGCAACAATATTTGACGTGGCCCTTTGTTAACTAGTTAATTCCTACCTGTCTCAGCTCAAATGTACTTTTCTCAGGAATTTTCTAGGCCCTACTCACCCTCCAACTAGATCAGGTTCTTCTACTATAAACATCTTTTATTTCTTCTTATATCTAAACATCTATTTCCTTCTTGTTGGTTTGATTTTTTTTTAAGATTTTATTTATTTTTAGAGAGAGAGGAAGGCAAAGAGAAAAGAGAGGGAGAGAACATCAATGTGTGGTTGCCTCTCACGCACCCCTCACTGGGGACCTGGCCTGCAACCCAGGCATGTGCCCTGACTAGGAATCGAACTGGCGACCCTTTGGTTCACAGGCCCATGCTCAATCTACTAAGCCATACCAGCCAAGACTTATTGGTTTAAATGTACAGTTTGTTCAGAAAGGCTGAAAACAAATATTTACCATGTCTGTGACAAACAGAAGCTACTTTTTACAGAAATATATTCCATTTTTAAATAAATAGATGTCAAAAAGGAAAGTAGGTAGAAATTGTATCATCTGTTTTAATACAGTTTAGAACTTTAAAGCAGTATCATTTTCTCTGCATTCTGTTTATGGAAGTCAAAGTTCTATCCAGTTTCAAGGAAAAGAAACTGAGATTCTACTTTCTGATGGGAAATATTTCAAAGAACTTGTTGACAAAACAATAGTTTTTAATCGTCCAGACAGGTGATGATTGCCTCGACTAGGGTGATGGCTGTGGAAGGGGAAGAAAGGGTTAAGTTCTGGGTAGCTTTTAAAGGTAGAGATGACAGGATTTCCTGGTCAACTGAGTGTGGGTGTGAGGAAAAGAAAGGAGTCAAGGACAACCTTGATGCTTTTGGACCAAGGAGGAAGCAGAAGGACACTGAGGAAAGCTTGGGAGGAGGAGGTTTAGGGGGAAGATTGGGAGCTCAGTTTAAGACCTGTGCAGTCTGAGACATCTCATAGACCTCTGAATGAGGATGGTGAGCAGGTAGCAAGATATAGGAGCCTGAGGTTTAGTGGCAAGGTCCAGGCTGAAGATAGAAATTTGGGGACTATCAGAACAGACAGGGTTATCCATTAAGCTACAACAGCACCTGGGAATGAGTGTAGATAGAGAAGTCAAGGCCAAAGCCCTGGACGCACTAAAGTGACAGACTGGTGATGCTAGAAGCAGGGGAAGGGAATGCTTCAAGGAGGGAGGGCTTGATGACCAAATGCTGCTGCAGGCTCAAGCAGTGTGTGGACTAAGAAATAACCATTGTCTAGCACTCTGATAACCCCATTAGTTTCGGGCCTGGAGGGCAGTTCCTTCTATCTCATGTGAGACAGGAAGATCCACTCCTGAGTTAAGGTGAGTCCCAGACTTGCCTGAAGTGTTGCCTGGAATCCCTCCCCTGCTTGCCCTCAAAGGGGATGAAACCAGAAAAGATTCTGCATCACAGGTCAGAAACCAGGGGGGTGGGGGAGGGGCAGGAAGGAGGTAAGAGGCAGGGGGAACCATTTCCCTAAGATAGCATGACTCAGCCTTTCTAGAACTCTTTTCTTAGGCACAACCAGTAAACTGGAAAAAATTCCATTGGGAAAAACAGAATTTGTGCAATTCAAAAATCTTTTGGTCTCAAGTGAGGCCCCTTCCCTCTTCAGCATCATCCTGAGGGACCTGAGGGTGGAGGGTGTGGTGACCTAGCTGGAGGAGACCAAGACCCTGGGTCTTCATTGTGATCCAGCAAGAGGGATAACTGAGTGTCCACTTCCCTGGAAAAAAAACAGGTAGTAGAGACTAAGGTATGTGCTCAGGATTGGGGTCTGGGACTGTGGACAGTTCTGAGAAAGGGGTTCAGAGAGGTGGGCACTCTATGGGGGATCTCAGGAGATTCAGGGTTCCAGTGTCGTAAATCCTGGAGATAAGTCACCTTTTTTGCCGCTGCAGTTCCGCCCTCTGAACCCTTAGCACCTGCAGTACAGGGTCCTCCTGAAACTCGCTACTGTCAGAGTCTGGGGGGAAAAAGAGTGAGCTCCAGGGGGCTGTACCCATAACGTGATGGACAGCCATCCGGATCCTAGCAGCCTTGCACATACACTCACCTTCAGCATCCTGAAGAAGCCCAGCAGCCTGGGAGAGTATGTCCTCTGGCGGGGCATGGTCAGCAGCAGGCGAAGATGTGACCACAGCTTCTAGAGACCCCGCCTTGAACAGAGAGGGCAGGGACTTGACACCTGTGGAAGCCTTCTCAACTGAAGGGGGTGGGAACTTGGGCTGAGCCTGCCTGACTTCCTTGCAAAGCACCGACCCCGCTGCAGAGGGCATGACTTTGGCTTTCAGAAACTCAGCCTTAGATGAATCTGGCGGTATCTCAGCCAGTGGAAACCATGAATCAGATAGAGGGGGTTTAACTTTGGTTTGAGAGTGTGTGTTGTTGATTTTCGGAGATTCATCTAGGGATGGAGGCAGGCCCTTGAGGGGAGAGTGCATGCCCTCCAGGCTTTCCGAAAATAGCCTAGCGGCCACTACCTGACCAAGAGGGCCTCTGAGCTGTGGACCAGGCCCTTGGTCAGCCACTGTGACCTGCCCAGCAGGTTCTTGGCAAGGGGTTCTACCCCTCTGAGGCTTGGGGCCCTGGTGCTTGGGCTGGGCAGGGCTGCATGGCTCAGGGTTGGGCAGGCCCTGGGGGTTGGTAAGGGGCATAGGAGCAGAGGCCCAGGGCAAGCCCCCAGAAGATATCCATGGACCAGTCTGTGGTGCCCAGAAAAACCCATTGGGGCTGGGGCCCCAAAAGATGTGTGGAGAGAACCCTGGAGCGATAGGCGGCCTCTCCACATAGAAGGCTTCACAGGCAGGATGAGGCCTGGCCACACAGTCCCAAAGTGGGATGCAGTTAGACTGTGTTCCCAGAGAACCAAGGGTCTCTGCAGGGGCAGGCGAAGTCTGCAGACAGGTGGGGACAGAGACCTAAAAGAGAGAATGCATAGAGTGTCCTCAGTCCCGCTCAGGGTTCCTCTTCCTCCAACTTCCCTTAGGATCCCTGTCGGCCCCTCAGGTGCCTCCCTTCCCCATCTCACCGGAGTGGTGAGGGCGGAGGTCCCTGGCAGTACCCAGGTTCCATCACCCTGACCTCCTTGAGCCTGTTCAAGCTTCCGCCGCTGCCGCCACTGGTACAGAATGTCATCCTCTGGTTGCAGGGTTGCCTGGGAGGAGACCAGGGCTGGAGCAGGGATGGTGGCTGGTGCAGGAGTTGCTGTGGAGTAAGTAGAGTGAAGAGGGTAAGTAGAGCAAAGAGGGTAAGACAGGAACCTGATGACAGCCTGCACATATACCCTTCGACTGTAACAGAAGGTTATTCAGACGGACTTTCCAGATAATGTCCCAACTCCTCTCTGGAGTGGGAAGTGGGGAAGGGGAAGGGTCAGAGAGCGGACTCATGGACTTCTCAACCTGTCATTATTCAATTCTTCCTTCATTAACAAGTGTTTATTGAGCTCTTACTATTGAGCCAGGCACTGTTCCAGCTCAATACAACAGTGACTCACAGCAGGGCAACCGGCTGTCCTCAGTCCAGTGGGGCAAAACATCTTTCCCATCACCCAGAGCATCATTTCAACCGTGATGATCAGTAGGGCTACTACTGTCTCCCAGAAGCCCTATCATCTGATGCTGCACAAAGAGGCAGGGGCATAGTCTCAGAATTCTCTCTTCTCCCCTCCCCTCTATATCCTCCCCGCTCCCAAAAGATGTGTGGAGTGAATCCTGTGAATCTACTTCCAAACCTGGTCACATCCCTCTACTTTGCTCTTCAGGCTCTAGCCCAAGCCAAACTACTGGCATCTCTCACTGAGTATTGATAGCAACCAGGGGCAGTTTGTTAACATTCAAGGAATATCATGTATCCTCCCTACTCAGACCCTCCCATGGCTCCCCAGTACTAAGATAATGACTAATTGCCTCCTGCTTGGCCTAGTGTAATCTGACCCCTGCCAACCTCTCCATCCTCATCCCACACGACTCTCACCTCTGGTTCTTGCCTTTTCTAGCTCATTGTCTGTACCTAGTTCCCTTCCACTTTAGGTTCTCTGTACATGCTAGAGGGCTCTTGTCACCACCATCATTCAGGTCTCCATTCAGATAGTATCTCTTCTGGGAAGATCTTCTCTGATAGCCCAACATCACAGTCCTCTCCTGCATGGCCCTCATTTCTGTTTACATTTCACTTTGTGAGGTAATGTAGCTACTCTCTGTATTACACGAGATTACACTGTGCATAGTTGGTTCACTGGAATCTCCAAGCCTGCTCACAGGGCCTCACACACAATAGGAATTTAATGTTTGCTAGATGAATGAATAAATTAAATCTGCAATAAAACTCATGAAGTAGGTACTAGTTTTATCCTCATTTTACAGATGAGAAAACAGGCTCAGAAAGAAAAAGTTAATCAAAGGTGATGCTTAGGTGGAGGGAAGAATCAGACAGGCATTTTAGCTGGATCACACAACATGCATGAACCTCTGTTTACTTGTGCTAGCCTGATGCTATTCATGGGAGCCCCATGAGACATAGAGCACCTGTCCTGTGCTCCACTGCATCCCAGGACCTGGGTACCGAGTAAAAGTAACAACAATGATGGCAGTAATAGTAACGCAGGTTCTTAATCTCATCTCTGAAATCTTGGGAGCAGAAATTTGAGAGTTCAACAGTTCGCATGTTTTAGCAAAATTGTATGGTATGAGAAGTATAGGCAGGAGTCTGGTGCAGTATGCCTGACTCAAACCCATTGGTATACAGTTGAACAATATGCAACTGCCAATATTCAACCATTTCTTACTTACAAAGGCAAAAATTTCATATGGTTCAATGTAATATATCCACAGCAAAAAGTATCAAGTCACCCTAAATGAGATATAGATAGATAGATAATTTCCTTTTTATTGGTAAGGTCAGATTTTGCTGTGAAATCGGGTATGGTGCAAAATTTGCAAAAAACATTCTGACTTTAGACCTCTGTGTTCAGAGAGGCAGATGGGATAGAGAGAGCTTGTCATACTAATGATAGCTACTTATTAACAAAGTGGTGCTAAGACTGCATGGATTCACCAATTCATTTAATTTTCATAACACCCATAGCAGAGGAGTACTATTATCCTTGTTTTAAAGTCAGGAAAAGAAGAAAGGCCCAGACAGGCCCAAGGTCACATAGCTGGTCAGTGGCAGAGATGGAATTCACACCAACTGCCCTCAATCCTTGCTCTCCAGAACTCACCATGTGCCTTGGAGTCAGAGCTCTTGCTGGAGTCAGGGGTGAAGGTCTTGGAAGAGGAAGAAAGACCATCAGACCTGATGGGGAATGAGGAATTGTTGGCATTGCTGAGGCTTCGGGAGGAGGAGACAGAGGCTTTGCTGTAGGAAGAAGGCAGAAGTGAGGCAACAGGGGTCTCAGAGGCAGTGGGCCAGGCCTGGAACTGTAGGAGTGGGGAGGATGATGGGGGCAGGGAAAGTACCTGTGTTTCAGCAGCTTGGCAGCTCTGCTTTGCAGGCTCAGCATCTCCAGGTCCAAAAGGGATGAGTTCCATGTGCTGAGGCTCTGTGAGGTGAGAGGGTCAGAGGCCAGCTCCCATTCCAAATGCTGTTCAGAAAAGGGCTCCAGACAGAGGGCCTGGAGTACATATCTGCATTCCACTTGGTACCCTCACATGCTGGCTTAGAATCTGCTCCTTCTCAGGGAAAAGTGACCCAGTTTTCCTCTGTGGATCCATACCACAGATGAGGCATTTTTGCAGGCATTTTTGACTTGATGCAGGCATTTTTGTAGAAGGGTGGACCCTACTTTCCTGACTAGACCTAGCTAATCACAACAATCTGTCCTCTGGTTCATGTTGATTTTGAGTGAATGAAAGTAAGCCCTGGGGCTATGGATGCAGCTATTGGAAAACACCCCTCTTTCCAGTGGATTAAATAAGTTAGAAGCCTAGAGCTACTGGAGCCATTTAGCTACTTTGAGGGAAATCCTACCTGAGACTGAGTCCAACAAAGAACAGAGCCACGGTAGTCAAGTTCCTCCCAATAGTGCTTAAACACCCAGATCCAGCCATGCCTGAAAACATCTACTTTTGGATTTTCCTTATTGTGGTAGCAAACAAATCTTTTTTTGTTTGTTTATTTGGTTGGTTGGTTAAGCTTCCTTGAATTGGGAATTGATCCTAATTCTATACCGGGGCTGATGCTGTCAGTTCAAGTACACAGGAGAAGGAGTGGATGGGGATGTCACCTGCTTTATTTCTTGAAGAGGGGCCAAAGCCTTAGCCTGTGATGCACTGGCCACCTTGGCAAGAGTCAGGACTGCTGTGTTGAATCTTCCTTCTGGTTTATTGGCTCCTGCTGAGAAGCCCCATTTGATTTAGGAGGGCCAGGAGGAGTGGCTGCTGGGAGCATTGAACAGGAAAGGTTTTGGGCCAGCAGTGGATGGGGCTGAAGCAAGTACCTGTTGCAAGTTTCATGCTAGGATCTGGAGATTCAGGCTGCAGCCACCAAAAGTCAGCTGGGGTTGGACCTGTAGTCTGGCGTTCCTCTCTGCTTGTGGGCTGAGCCTGGCGGAACCGGTTTATGAACCTGCGGGCCTCAGAGAATGGGAGGTGGGTGAGGTGAGGAGAACCAAATCATCATCACAATAGCCAATGCTATTGAGCACCATGGTAGTGCCTAGTAGTTGTCCCTCAATATCTGCTCTCTTTTCTTATATAGTAATACAATATTATGTAAGACTAATACTAGGCACATAGCCTCTCTTCTAAAGATACATTTACCAGGTACCCTTGCAACTTTATGGCCATGTAACTAGGTTTTTGACTAACAGGGTATAAGGAGATGTGATTCCGAAAAATGGATGTTGTTGGCCATTTTGGTCCACGAAGGAAAGGGCAACAGCCTAGGGCTGGGAGGGCAACAAGATAGAAGTAAACTGTATCTCTGACCCCTCAACTAGGGGCTGCATATCAGCTCTGGTTACTTCTGCCTGAACTGTTAGGTGAGAGAAAAATAAATGCTATCTTGTTTAAGCCACAATTAATTTGGGACTCTGTTATAGCAGCTGAACTAGTATCCTATAAATCCAAGTGCTCACCATGGGACAGGCATTGCTGTAGAAGCTTTACAGACAGTTGACAGACCTAGACAGGACTAGGAGGAATGGAAAATCACCAGGCAGGAAACTACACCATGGGGAACTGCAGCCTGGGAAACTGCCTGCCAACCCTACCCAGGATAAACAAATGCTTGCCTAGGATTGGGGACTGGGGTCGGCATATCCCACATAAAAGGATGCAGCTTTAACCCAAGGCTGACAAGATGTATCAAGAACAACAGTCAGCAGAAATGGCACCCAGCAACCAGCTCTAGCCAATCAGGCTCTGACACCCCAACCAGTTACCCTTTGTGAGTTTTTGTGCTTAAAAACCCCGTCCTAAGAACAACCAAGCAAGTCTTAACCTCCCTTGGTTGGCTTCACTTCCCCCGACGAGTCCCAACCTCCCTTGGTTGGCTCCACTTTCCCCTTTCTCCTTGCTAATAAACCCTGCTCTTTGGCTTGCTGTGTCTGACTGGTTTCTTGAATGACTCTGACCTAGCAACAGTAACTCACTGAAAGCTTAAACAGCCCTGGAGGATATGTTATTCATATCCCCAATTTACCAATAAAAAAAAAACTGAGGCCAAGCTCATACAGGAAGTAAATGACGGAGCTGGGATTTGAACCCAGGCAACCTAGCTCCAAAGCTCTTAACACACATGAAATGTGGTCCTGAAAGTGCTACAAAACCAATGCTGGCTGTGGTGATTATTACAGATGCCTGTCCAACTCCCCAATCTTTCTTGCCCCTCAGGGCTGATGGTACTTACCTGGCCACCACAGAATCACCACTGTCAATTAGGGTGGGTGGTTGAGAGGCACCCATTTGTTCCTCGGTGGTGCTGGGTGGGGAAGGGGTCCCTGAGCTGGATGGCCAGGACTTCTCAAACAGCTCAGGGGAGTTGTGACCTGTGGCCAGAGCCTTGGGAACTTCTGGGATCCTGGATCTTTGGGACCTGGATGGGCTTAGGGTCTAAAATAGGGGAGGTGGGGAGAAGAAAAAGTGAGGCCTGGGGACCTCCCTATAGGAAAACAAACACACATGAAGTCTTAGTCCAGAGGGAAGGAAACACATCTCACAATGGTAACTACTCAAGAGTAGATGAGGTTGTGATGGTGGTAGAGTACTGGAAAAGGAAGGGACATGGGGAGGGAAAGAGGGGCTGTCTCTTAATCTCTTACCTGCATCTCTTATTACAGGTCTTCCCTCTAGTCATCACTCCCTTCCTACTGGGCTGGCAAGCAGTGCTCTGTGAGGTGTCCTCACCTTGAGGTGCCAGGTCTGGCTTCAGGATGGCCAATAGCAGCTTCAGCTTAGGGTAGTATCCCCAAAGGGGCTGTCTTGGGTGAAGAAAACTGGCAGGCTGCAAGGACAGAGTAGGGTTGGTAGGCAGAGCTTGGTCACTGCAGCTTGGGAGGAGTTGGGAGGGGAATGTAGGGTGGGAGGATGGGAAGAAGAGGGCAGAACAGACTACAATTCCCAAGGATTCCTATAAAAGATGGACTATAATTCCCCTGGTGGAGTCTCAAAAGAGAAGAACCCAGAACTTCTGGACAAGACAGTGGCATAGGCAGACATGACTCGCCTCTCTCACAACAAAATTACAACTGAAATATAGAACAACCATCGCTCATAAGCAACAAAAATCGAATTGAATGGAAGTCTGACAACTACGAAATTAAAGAAACCACATCCATCAAGACTGGTAGGAGGAGTGCAGATGTAGAACAGGCTGGTCTCTTACCCACATATGGTAGATAAAAATCCAGGAGGGATATCTTGGGAACCAGGAGTCACAGCCCTACACCAGGCCCCCCAGACCAGGGTTCCAGTGCCAGGAAGATAAGTCCCCACAACTGGCTGCAAAAATCAATGGGGATTGACTCGGTGGAAGAAACTGCTGGAGCCCCAAGCAATTCCTTTTAAAGAACCCACACACAGACTCACCCATGCAGAATCATTCCCTCTGGACTCTGGCAACAGGGTGGTGGCTTGAGAGACACCACTGGCGTGGAGGGGGAGGCTGAGGTGTCTGGTACGAAGAAGAGCAGAGCTTTTCTGGGCCCTCCCCCAACAGAGTGGCAGACTGGTGCCTATCTAAGATTCCATCAACCTGGCTAACACGGTTTGACCTGCCTTGGAGATCTGCAGAGACTCTGCCATGACCAACTCATGGGCCCCACACAAGGTGCTTTTCCATATAAATGGTCTTGGCTCATGCTTTGCAACTTCCTAAATCCTCTCAAACAAGCATCAGCTGGCCTCAGTGAGCCCCAGGCCCAGAACTAATAGCCTAGATTCACAAGTTGGCTTTCCCTGGAAATCACCAAGCCCAGTACAAGTAGCAGCCATCTCAGATTGCTCTATAGCTCAGGCAGGGTGGCCCAGGCAAAACACAAGTGGAGGCTGATTTTGGACTGCACCATCTGGGAAAGCCCAGGGGCCAGGGCACCCAGTGGACAGTATAGACTGCATCAGAGCACTACCACCCTACCCCTGCACAGCTGATCCTCCACGGAGGGTGGAGAGTAAATGGTCACAGCCAATACTGGCAGCTAACTGGCCTGGGTAAACCCCTTCCACTGATCTGCTGACAGCAACCAAGTCTCAACTACAAAAGGAGGGTGTACTCAGTTCACACAAAGGGTGAACCTTGAGTACCCTGCTTGGGTGAAAGGTGAGGCTGTGACCCACTGGACCCTATAGGACACCGACTACATTAGGCCACGATACCAAGACATGGAGTCAAAGCAGCGCTACCTAATACATGTAAAAAAAAAAAAACACAGGGAGAGGTTGCCAAAACAAGGAGACAAAGGAACATGGCCCAAATGAAAGAACAGATCAAAACTCCAAAAAAAGAAGTAAATGAAATGGAGATAAGCATCATCAGATGCAGAGTGAAAAACACTGGTTATAAGGATGCTCAAGGAACTTAGTGAGGACCTCAACAGCAAAAAAAGATCCAGTCAGAAACAAAGGACACACTAATTCAAATAAAGAACACTTTACAGGGAATCAACAGTAGAGTGGATAAAGCTGAGAATCACATCAATGATTTGTAACATAAGAGAGCAAAAAAGAATCAATCAGAACAACAAGGAGAAAAAAAAGAATCCACAAAAAATGAGGATAGTGTAAGCAGCCTGTGGGACAACTTTAAGCAATCCAACATTCTCTATGTAGAAGTGCCAGAAGGAGAAGAGAAAGATCAAGAAACTGGAAATCTATCTGAAAAAATAATGAAAGAAAACTTCCCTAATTTGGTGAAGGAAATAGACATGAAAGTCCAGGAAGCACAGAGTCCCAAACAAGATGGACGCAAAGAAGCCCACTCTAAGACACAGCATAATTAAAATGCCAAAGGTTAGTCCTGGCTGGTGTAGCCCAGTGGATTGAGCACTGGTCTGCAAACCATAAGGGTGGCAGGTTCAATTCCCAGTCAGGGCACATGCCTGGGTTGCCTGCCAGGCCCCTGGTGGGGGGTGCAGAAGAAGCAACCACACATTGATGTTTCTCTCCCTCTCTTTCTCTCTCCCCTCTCCCTAAAAAGAAATAAATAAAATATTTTAAAAAATAAAAAATCAAATGCCAAAGGTTAAAGATAAAGAGATGGCTGAGTGGGTGTGGGAGAATGGGTGAGAAGTGAGGGGATTAAAGAGTACAAATAGGTAGTTACAGAATAGCCATGGGGATGCAAAGTACTGCATAGGAAAGGGAGTAGGCAAAGAACTTACATACATGACCTGTGGACATGAACAAGGGTGGGAGGATTGCCTGAGGGAATGGGGGGTGATGGATGGAGGGGAGCAAGGGGGGAAAATCAGGACAACTGTATTAGTATAATCAATAAAATATAATAAAAAAAAGAGAGGACTTCCGGCCAAGATGGAGGCATAGGTAGACACACTGTGCCTCCTCACACAACCAAAATAAGGACAATTTAAAACAAAATAACCAGAACTAACAGAAAATTGAACTGTATGGAAGTCTGACAACCAAGGAGTTAAAATAGACGCATTCAACCAGACAGGTAGGAGGGGTGGAGTCGGGAGGCAGGGCAGAGAGGGGTTATGGCAAAAAACAAAACAAAACGGTGGCTTGTGCACCCCAGGTGCAGGGTGGCAGCTGGCAGACCCAGCAAGGCAGCGATTGTGGAGCGGGGCGCGGTGCGCAAGGCAGCTGACTGGGCGGTCCCACATTCATGCGCACAAAAACCAGCAAAATCGGAGAGTAAGCACAACCTAGGGTCCCACTGCCAGGAAATAAAGCCTCAAAACACCAATTGAAAACACCTGTGGGGGTTGAGATGCCAGGAGAGACTCCCAGCCTCATAGAAGAGTTTGTTGGAGAAACCCACAGGGTCCTAGAATGTACACACGCCCATCCACACAGAAATCAGCACCAGAAGGGCCCAGTTTGCTTGGGGGAAGCAGTGGAAGGGACTGAAATCTGACAGAGAGCAGAGCAAGCACCATTGTTCCCTCTCAGACCCCTCCTCAACATAACAGCATCACAACCCAGAGACTGGGTTGCCCCACCTGGTGAACACCTAAGACTCTGACCCTCATACGTAACAGGCGCAACAAGACAAAAAAAAATGGCCCAAACAGAAGAACAGATCAAAGCTCCAGAAAAAATACAACTAAGCAACGAAGAGATAGTCGCTTAGTATCAGATGCACAATTCAAAGCACTGGTGATCAGGATGCTCACTGAATTGGCTGAATTTGGTCACAAATTAGATGAAAAAATGAAGGCTATGTTAAGTGAAATAAAGGAAAATGCACAGGGAACCAATAGTGATGGGAAGAAAACTGGGACTCCAATCAATGGACTGGATCAGAAGGAAGAAAGAAATAACCAAACAGAAAAGAATGAAGAACAAGAATTTAAAAAAATAAGGAGAGGCTTAAGAACCTCCAGGACATCTTTAAACATTCCAACATCTGAATCATAGGGGTACCAAAAGGGGAAGAGGAAGAGCAACAAGTGGAAAAGTTATTTAAATAAATAATAAAGGAGAACTCCCCCAATCTGGCAAAGGAAATAGACTTCCAGGAAGTCCAGGAAGCTCAGAGAGTCCCAAAGAAGTTGGACTCAAGGAGGAACACACAAAGGCACATCGTAATTACATTACCCACGATTAAAATGAAGGAGAGAATCCTAGAAGCAGCAAGAGATAAGGAGATAGTTACCTATAAAGTAGTTCCCATCAGACTGTCAGGTGATTTCTCAAAAGACACCTTGCAGGCAAGAAGAGGCTGGAAAGAACTATTCCAAGTCATGAAAGGCAAGACCTCCATCCAAGATTGCTTTACCCAGCAAAGTTTTTATTTAGAATGGAAGGGCAAATAAAGTTCTTCCCAGATAAGGTCAAGTTAAAGGAGTTCATCAACACCAAGCCCTTATTATATGAAATGTTAAAGGGACTTATCTAAAAAAAAAGAAGATAAAAAAACATGTATAATAAAATGACAGCAAATTCACACTTACTAACAACCACACCTAAAACAAAAACAAAAACAAACTAAGCAAACAACTAGAACCAGAACAGAACCACAGAAATAGAGATCACATGGAGGGTTATCAACAGGGGAGTGTGAGGAGGAGAGAGGGGAAAAGGTACAGAGAATAAGTAGCATAGATGGCAGGTAGAAAATAGACAGGGGGAGGGCAAGAATAGTATGGGAAATGTAGAAGCTAAAGAACTTATGACACATGGATATGAACTAAAGGGGGGAATGTGGGTGGGAGAGGGTATGCAGGGTGTGGGGAATGAAGGGGGAAAAATGGGACAACTGTAATAGTGCAATCAATAAAATATATTTTAAAAAAAGAAGAACCCAGAAACTGCTAACCAGTGGTACTCAACACTAGGCCCAGTCTAACTTTCTTTTTGAAATACAGCAGTTGTCTTTTGAAAATACAGATGGGTGGTCCTCACCACATACCAAAAGAATAAGAATTATCTAGAAGTGGGAGCTAGGAATCTATCTTTTTCTCAGCATCCCAGGTGATTTTGAGGTGGAGCTTGAGTTAAGAACCACTGCTAAGCCCAATCATTGTACATTTCCCATAAGTCCTTAGGACACGAAGGAGAGAAGGGTACATGGACTACAATCCCCATCAGTCTCTGGGCTCGGCCTAGGCAGGAAGGGTAAAAAACAAAACAAAAGAAGACACTCATGGGAGTCTGGGGGCAATTTCAAAATTAAGAAACTTATTTCCCAAGATGCCCCCTAGCCATCTTAGAAAAAAAACGGTCCGTGGGGCAATTAAGAGAGCCGAACGTCAGACGCTATGGGATCCTCGGCTTGGAAGTTGCAGTTCTAAGCGATTGAAGAGACTCCAGACCCCAGCAAACTTGACTCTAGGCTGTATGGCTCTCACCCTCGGTTTTCCCCAAGCCTCCTGAGGTCCCCGGAAGAGAGATTCGTCTCACCTGCGGTTCATCCTGTAGCTACCTCAGCGATTTCGCCTGCTACTCTCCTTCACCTGATTGACTCCGCGCGCCTCTTTGTTGCTTAGCAATGCCCTATCAGTCCCGCCCCTCCCCAGAAGTGCCCGCGCGGGAAGATAGCAGCCTCCAAAGTGACCAATGGTAGAGAAGAAAATAAAAATAATAGAATGTGACCAAAGCGGGATGTCTCACTAATGGCTGTAACGGAGGCCTGAATGAGAGAGCGTGTTTGATTGGAGAACCACAGTGTGCAGGAGTAATTGGCAAGCCTGTGGACCCATGGAAAGTACGCGAAACTGGGCTCAAGGTTAGGAAGGGGTTCTAAAGTACACTCCCTTCCCTGCAGTCTTGTCTTCCAACCAGGCCCCCTCTTGCTGCAGGAATGTGGTCCAGACTCCATTCCAACAACCCTTTTTCTCGTTGCAGGGGTAATCAGGGAGACTGTCCCCTTTCTAAAGGGTGGCCCTCCAAAAGTAGGACCTGCAGGCCTGTGCTGCACAGTTACCTAACCACTGTTGTCTTGCTGCAGGAGCAGCTGGTTGCGCCAAGTGCCAAGCCTGGGCTTCTGGCCAGGTGGCTGGATCAAAACGAGCTATTTCGGGCCAGGCGCGCGGCCCCCGGGGGGCCAGCCTGGGCTGTTCTTGCCCACGCCCCCTGGCCTCTGCTCACCTGGCAGACCCGGCCATCGTGCGCATCAGAGGCTGAATCAGAGGCACAAAATTAGGCCCGGCTTACCGGGGGGGCTGGGCTGAGATGGGAATAGGGTCTGTCCTGTATCCTCCCGACAGTTTGGCTGGTCCACTGCATTCCCTATACCCAGGATTCTGCTCTTAAGACTGCCATCTGCGTCATCTCCAGAGCTGTCTGCGAGGCGGGGGTGGAGTAAAGGACTGGGAACTCTGCTGAGGGATTCTTAGGCCCTAGGTCTCAAATGCCGCGCTGTATTCGCCACTCTAGCAAGGCTCCGCCTCTCCAGCCTTAGTTTCCCCCTCGGGAAACTAGAGAATCTTGATACCTCTGTGGCATCCAGCGGGAGCTTAATAAATGGCCAAGTCATTGTTGGCTTTCTAAAAAAGGCTCTGTTAGTGTCTGAGTCTGGCCGCAGTCCGAATGTCCCGGGGCGGCCCGCTGGGGGGCGGACACACCGCGTACTATAAAGCAGCGGCAGCGCAGGCTGGGACACTACGAAGCGTAGGAGGTGGAGGAGAAGAAGGATGGAGATCCCAGTCCCCGTGCAGCCGTCTTGGCTGCGCCGCGCCTCGGCCCCGTTGCCCGGGCTTTCGGCGACCGGGCGTCTTTTTGACCAGCGCTTCGGCGAGGGGCTGCTGGAGGCCGAGCTTGCTTCCCTGTGTCCCGCCGCGCTGGCACCCTACTACCTGCGCGCACCCAGCGTGGCGCTTCCGGCCACCCAGGTTGCCTGGCTTGGGGAGGGGCTGTAATCCGACTACTTCCAAGGCTCGGGGCTTTGTCACCCCGGGAGTGGGGGGGTCAGGGAATGGACAGTCCCTTGACTTTGAGCGGGGTGAAGAGTCTGGCCACTCAGAGGGGCTTCCGGAGTTCCCCAAGTACGGAATCTCTGAGGCTGGATTACTGAAGTGGGTCGGAGGTGCCCGTCTATCTGAGGAGGGTCTCAGTTCTAAGGGAACTGATAGGGTGAGGTGGTCACTCTGTCTTGTTGACTCTGAAAGAGGCTGTAGACCCAGGAAATGCCGTGGGCGGAGGGATGGAGCCCAGTTATTCTGATGGGCTGGAGGACTTCTCAGTGACTCCTGCGGGGAGGGGATGTTTTGTTATTCTTGGGAAAGAGAGTTTGGAGACTGGGATGACCCTATATATCCTGGAGAGGCAGAGGGGACGAAGGGTCCCGTGACTTGAGAAAGGGGGGCCCCGGACAATCTGAGAAGTGGGGGAGGAGTACTGATTAACTGCTGAGGACACAAGTGGTCCCGTGACACTAGTGGGAGGTTAGAAAGAGGACTCTGGAGACTAGAGAAGAGGCAACCTGGCAATTTCTGGCGGTAGGAACAGGGTGTTTGTGGCAGCAAGGGCCCTGGGGGCTCTGAAAGAAAAGGGGCTGGGGAGTGAGTGTTCAGGAGGAAATGTTGACTATGGGGTCGTTGACACTGGGGGATGTAGGGCAGGCCTCACTCTGTGAGGGTGGAGGTCCCTCACTTGGCAAGGGAAGGTGGCCTCACCACTCTGGGTGAGAGGTGGGTTAGTCGGGATGAAAAGGTCATCAGTAGGAAAGGTGCTTCCCAGTTTCGGAGGCCAGGGTCAGCTACAATATTAGAACCGACGGTGGAGAGCTTTGCTGGGGCCTGGGAGCCCCGCCCCGCCCAATGACTATTGGCTGTGCGCAGGTGCCGACTGACCCTGGGCATTTTTCCGTGCTGCTGGATGTGAAACACTTCTCGCCAGAGGAAATCTCCGTCAAGGTGGTTGGTGAACATGTGGAGGTGCACGCCCGCCATGAAGAGCGACCGGTGAGCCGGCTGGTGGTGCACAGAATCCCGGGGAGTTCCTCTGGCCTAAGGGAGGGGGACAGTGATAGGGAAGGGTAGGCTACTCTATCTAGCCTCTCTCCTTCCAGGATGAACACGGATACGTCTCTCGCGAGTTCCACCGTCGCTACCGTTTGCCACCTGGCGTGGACCCTGCCGCAGTGACGTCAGCGTTGTCCCCTGAGGGTGTCCTTTCCATCCAGGCCTCACCTGTGCCCGCTCAGGCCCCACTGCCACCACCAGCTCCTGCCAATTTGGGATCTGGGCACGCGTGAACCCTGGTAGCTGCCGCAGGCCCCTTCTTTTAAAGCCAAACTGACTCCACCCAGCCAGATATCCCAAGCATGCCAAGATCCACACCTCCTCCCCCAAAACCGGATCTAGTCCAGACCCCTCCAACCTAGACTCACCCCTGATAACCTAGACCTTTTCCACTGGCACTCCTGCTCATATACCATCCATTTTCAAACCCCAACACCTTCCTAGTTTCCAGATCCTATAAGCACAACCCCTCAGCCTAGTCTCCTATTTACAAACTCCCTCTTTGGCAGATAAACCCACTCAAAACTCCCTATTTCCTCCTGTCTCCCTATGAAAATATCTCCACTGTGACACCAGATTATGATATAGATAGCTCTGTCCCAAACCTAAACCAGTTAAGCGTAATCCACCTCTGGGCAATGTCCCAGACTGTACAGACTTTCCACACCAGACCACCCACCCAGGCCTGGTCTTCCCCTAATTAATCTCAACCAGCCACCTTCAGACTCTTGAATCCCTTTTCTGATCCTCACCCTTGGACACCTATTCTAGGCCAACCAGTACCTTCAACCTCAAAATGTAGATACCCTGCCCATCTCCCCAGACCCTGCACACTGTCCTAACTCCCATCTCCAACTTTACCCAGGACCCCATCTCCAATCACAGGCAATCCACTTTCCAGACCCTTCCCCTTACTCTCCAAGACCCAGCCCAGAGGCCACTTGCTTTTATTCTCCACAATCTTTCTCCCTCCTTTAATTCCTTTCTGTCCCACCCCCTCACTCCTACCTAGCTCCACTCCCCCAATAAACATGGTAGAGCTGTGCCAACTGCTTTGTATCTGGGCCTGGAAGGATGGGCTGGAACAATCTGAGGCCAGTGTGAAGAGGGGAAATGTTTATTGGGGTGGGACTGGAGCAGGGGAACATCACTGTCGCTCATACATCTCCCGTAGGATCTTCATGCTTTCTGAGTAACGAAGCTGATTCCGATGAGATGCCTCCTTCCACCTGCAGTGGGGGTGGGGAAGCAGAGGGAGGACTCAGCAGTTGGGGCAAAAGCCATAGAGGGGCAGCAGGTTGGGGTTGCTCACCTCTGGCGGATGCGTTTCCAGCGCTGCATGTTGCGGTAGATGAGTGTGGAGGGTGAAGGCTCAGGCTCAGAGGGCTGTGTAGATAGAAAGGCCAGGCTGGGTGGCCATGCCCAAGTCCTACAACATAAGTCCCATAGCCCTGGGCAAGCCTTACAGACCTACCTCATCATCAGGGGTACCATGGATCTCCGGCTGCAGTGGGGATGGAATTCGGGATCTGCAGGCATCTCCAGGTAGCCCAGGGGCTGTAGGAGGAGGCAGCTTGTACACGTCACAACTCTTGCTGTTGGTGACCTCTGAACTCTGGGGACACAAGAGCACCATACCAGGCCCAAAAAAGTCAGAGAAGAGGGCCAGGGATAAACATTTTACCCCTTCCACCTTTGCCAGTGACAATAAACATGAGGGTCTCACCAGGGACCTGCACTTCTGAAGGATGGGGACCTTACCCAGCTTGGGGGTCAGGTCTGCCCCAGGAATCCCTACCTTCTTCTGTCCAGCTCAGGGACCCCCACCAACCCCTATTTAACCAGTCCAGACTCCCATCTATGACTGCCAAGCCCAGGGGGTTCCCATCTGCTCTTTTAGATCAGGTGGCTACACCTGTTTATACTAAGGATCCCTCTCTGTTCCCCCAGCTATTGGGGATCCTCATCTTGGAGGTCAGACTTACCTGCCCAGGGGAACTCTGTCCCTTCTTTGTCCCAGACCAGATAGCTATGTCTGTCTGCTCTACAGAGCTCCCTCCATACCCCTAGCCTAAGGGTTCATATCTGTGTCTCACTGGATCCAGGAAACATTTAAGAGACACACAAACCTGTGCCTGTCTATCCCACTGGCTTGTGACTACCCACTCACTCCCTGGCTGTTGGGCAGAGGCCTACCACCCATCCCACCTCTTCATCTTCAGGCAGTGGGGGCAGCGGTGAGCTGGGTGAGCGTTCACGCTCACGCACTGAGGGGCTGTTGCGCATCCAGGCACGGCAGATTGGGTACAGCGGCGTGTTCTCACTGAATTGAGCCAAGTCCACACTCCGGTCAAACAGCTTAATCACATATGTGTCTAGAGTGGTAGGAGTGGGAGGTATGTGAACATGCTCACATAGCCCCCTATCACTGATCACCCTCTAGGGCCACCACCTACTCACTGGATCGTTGTGGCCCTCCTTCAGCCAGTCCATCATCCATCTCCCTCCTTTTCTTCCTCCGCTGGTGAGGGAAGCGGGCGGATGGCCTGTGTGAGTTGAGAGAACATCAGAACCAGGGCTAGGGACCTCTTGTCACCTGGCTGGGACCCCTGCTACCTTACCGTTTGCCAGTGACTGCAATGGAGCAATCCCTGTGGGGAGAGACAGGACATTAGCAGGCTGACCCTTGAACAAATGCTTGCTCAAAACCCCCAAAGGACACCCTAGCAATACTGAGATCAAGCCTGAGGTGCTCACTTGGACCCCACTAACTCTGTAGGCCTTGTGTCCCATCCACATCCCTGGGGCTCTAGAAGCCAACTATGAGGGGACCTAACTTTCTGCTGCCACAGGGTCTTTGTGCACAGAGTGGTTAGGACTGTGGTGGAGGGGACACAGTAGTCAGGGCTTGGATGAGGGAAGTCACTCACCACAAACCCTCAGATACTGATCCCATCAACAAAACTTACTTGCTGTGGGTATCTGAGGGGGTCTTCCCGGCTTCCTCATCCAGACGCTCCCTGGTAGCAGAAGAGAACTGTGGGCTCAGGGTTCCAAAGGCCCAGAGTAGGAAGGCAATGAGTGGCTTCTCCATTAGGCCCCTTCTTCCCTAAGCCAGGTTCTGGGGTCCCACCCAGATCCACTCAAGACCAGAGGGCCCAAACTACCAGGTTCCCAACCCCCTATGACTCCAAGCTGGCTCAGAATCCAACCTGTCCATGTGACTCTTCTCCAGGAGACACTGCAGAACAGCATCCAGTTGGTTTCGAGCCTTAGCCATCTCCAACTCTGGGGAAGAGAGTACCAAGCAGGAATCAGTTTGAGGCCCAAAGCAGGTGGTCAGCCAACTGGGCTGGAGAAGGGCATGTGTACCAATCCTATGGCCAGGCCCAGGTCCACTGAGGTGAGGTAAGCTGGCTACTGAAGCAATGAGCAAGAGCTCTGGGTTCCAGCGCTGTATCGAGTAAGTCACCTTACCTCACTGAACCTGTTACCTCATCTTGAAAATGGGTCTCCAAGTGATACCTATCTGCTAGGACTATTCTGAGGTTTTGGGTGTTTTTAAAGTATATTTTATTGATTATGCTATTACAGTTATCCCATTTTTTCCCTCACCTTTCTCTCTCCTCCCTGCACCGCACCCTCACCCTCCAGCATCATGTACAGTTCATGTCCATATAAGTTCTTTGGCTTCTCCATTTCCCATACTATTCTTAACCTCCCCCTGACTATTTTGTGCCTACCTATTCCACTTCTTATTCCCTGTACCTTTTCCTCCCATTGTCCACCCTACCCCCCACTGATAAGCCTCCATGTGATCTCCATTTCTGTGAATCTGTTCCTGTTCTAGTTGTTTGCTTAGTTTTTGTTTTTTATGTTTGGTTGATGATAGTTGTGGGTTTGTTGTCATTTTACTGTTCATACTTTTTGATCTTCTATTTCTTAGGTAAGTCCTTTTAACATTTCAAATAAGGGCTTGGTGGTGGTGAACTCCTTTAAGTTTACCTTATGTGGGAAACACTTTACCTGCTCGTACATTCTAAATGAAAGCTTTGCTGGATAGAGTAATCTTGGATGAAGGTCCTTGCCTTTCATGACTTCCAATACTTCTATCCAGCCCCTTCTTGCCTGTAAGGTTTCTTTCAAGAAATTAGCTGATAGCCTTATGGGAACTCCTTTGTAGGTAACTATCTCCTTTCTTCTTGCTGCTTTTAAGATCCCCTCCTTATCTTTGATCTTGCATAACTTAATTATGATGTACCTTGGTGTGCTCCCCCTTGGGTCCAATTTCTTTGGGATTCTCTGGGCTCCTTGGAAGTCTATTTCGTTTGCCAGATTGGGGAAGTTCTCCTTCATTATTTGTTCAAATAAGTTTTCAATATCTTGCTCTTCCTTTTCTCCTTCCGGCACTCCCATAATTCAGATGTTGGAACGTTTAAAGTTGTCCCAGAGGTTCCTTAGACTCTTCTCATTTTTTTTACATTCTTGTTTCTTCATTCTGCTCCAGTTGGATGCTTACTTTTTTGCTTTTGTTCCAAATTGTTGATCTGAGTTCTGGTTTCCTTCCCTTCACTGTTGGTTCCCTGTATATTTTCCTTTATTTCACTTTGTATAGCCTTCATTTCTTCCTTCATTTTGCAACCAAGTTCAATCAATTCTGTGAGCATCCTGATTACCAGTGTTTTGAACTCTGCATCAGATAGATTGGCTATCTCCTCATTGCTTAGTTCTTTTTCTGGAATTTTGACCTGTTCTTTCATTTGAGCCATATTTCTTGTCTCAGTGCACCTGTTACATGTAAGGGACAGAGCCTTAGGTATTTGCCAGGGTGGGGTAACCCACTTGGCTACGTTATGGTGCTGTATGTGAGGGAGAGGTCAGAGAAGGAATAATGCTGCTTGTTCTGCTCTCATCCCACCTTCCGTCACTTCCCTTATTTCCCACAAGCAGTTTGTCCCTTTAAGTGCTGATTGGCAGGTGGGTGGGTTTGTGCCCATTTTGGGACCCTGTGAGTCTCTCCAATGAACTCTCCTGTGAGGCTGGGAGTTTCTCCCACTGCCACAATCCCCAGATCTTTTCCACAACCTGTGGTTTTGAGTCTAGTTTCCCGTGCTGAAACCCAGGGTTTCCCATTCCTTCTCACTCCCCTGCTTTCCCCCAGGCTTGTCTGTGGGCGAATGTGAGATCGCCGGTGTGATCCGCCAGCCACTGCCTTACCCACCCAGTCCTCCAGCTGCTGCCTTGCTGTGTCCTTTCCACCCCACTGCCTGTTTCCGCCCCTCCTACCATCTGGTTGAATGCTTTTTCAACTCCTTGGTTGTTGGACTTCTGTGCAAATGTTTTTCTGGTAGTTCTGGTTGTTCTTTGCTTTTAAATTGGTTGTTTTCCTTCTTTTGGTCGTGCGAGGAAACAAAGTGTTTCTGCCTACACCTCCATCTTGGTTTCTGTTCTAAGGTTTAAATAAACCTATGTTGTATTCGAATCTCTTAGCATAATGCAATAAGTAACATGTACAGAGTGCTTATGTGCCAAGCATTGTTCCAAGCATATCACACATATTAACCCATTGAATTCTCACATTAACCCTGGCAGGTACATATGATTTTTATCCCCATTTTACAGATCATGAAACGGAGGCACAGAGATGTTAGTTAGCTGCCCAAAGTTACACAGCTAGGAAATTGCAGGACTAAGGATTTGCACCCAGGCTATCTGGTTCCACAGCTAAAGTTGTAAGGCAGGGACTCAAAGTGGGTGCAGATATATTCTGTTTGGCTGATGCAGTGGCACTATTTTAAATCAGAGTTAAATTTGAATGACCTGACATTTAATTGGGAGATTTCAGCCAAAATACCCATTTTGCCCCCTGCTCCAAGAAATGATATCTGGGCCCAACTTCCTGCATGTCACGGGCCCTGCCTGGTCCTGTCAGCCTGTGTGTTTGACTCCTTTCATCACAGAACTTAAGGAGGTAATGATGTTCTATTATCCTCTCACCCAGTGAGGTGCTCACTCTCCTCTTCCAACTAGTAGGTGCTCTGGTCCAGTGCTCAGAGCCTGGAAGGACATTTGGGGATATGCTTTGGCCAGCCCTGGGACTTCCTGAGGAGACCAGGAGATACAGAGATTTCCAACATCACTCAGAGGAGATACAGGGTAGGGATGTAGTTGGGAGCCGCTGAGATTCTAGTGAAAAGTGTTGGGCAGAAGCCATGGTATGGATTATGCCTACATCTCTTTCGCTGGCCCCGGCTTCTCTTCTGAACTTCAGATCTTGGGATCCCATGAACTCCTGGACACCTCTCCCTGGATATCACCCAAGGTCCTTCCACCTCCTGGGTTCCACACTGGCCTTAGTGTTTCTCTAAACTCACCCTCTTTCCCAAGCCCCCATTTAAGGGGTAGCCCTGCTGTCCCCAGTCTTTTCCTGGGCTTCACATGGACACCTCTCTCCCTCCTCCATCCCAACCCACAAACCCCTGCCCACTTGGCCTCCCAAGTTTCTCTCCCACCTATCCCAAACCTAACCTGCCCACGCTGGTCCTTTTTCTCATTCTCCTGGGCTCCCAACCTCAGTCTCCCCTTCTGATCCACCCTCCACAAGATGGCCAAGGATCTCTTCCTAAAACCAATCCTGACCCTTGATCCTCCCTTTAGAACTCTCCACAACTCTGCAGTGTTTCCAGGACAGAAACTGAGCTCTTCAGCCTGGTGTTCACAGGCCTCCATGACCCTACCTCCCCCTTCCCACAGGATCACTGTGGTCAAGCCCCCTATACTTTTCCACCCACGATTTTTTTGACATGTGAGGAGTATCTTTATTAATGCACTCCTCAGTTTAAAACCTTCCTTTGGCCCCCCATTTCCCTCAGAGCAAAAGCTAATGTCCTAACCTTAGCCCACAAGATCTATTCCCCTCCCCTCCTCTCTTTCCCCCATCTCCTCATACTCTCTACGTCTGTCCCAGCCACACTGGCCTCCATGCTGGCCCTTGAACAGGCCAGTCAAGGCTTCCTTCTGCCTCAGGGTTTTTTCAAAACTATTTCCTTTGTCTGATTCTTTGATCCCTAACAAATCCTCATGGCTCTCTCCCTCATCTTGCCTCACTCCTGATATCCTCTTCTGTTTCATTTTATTACTACTTATACCATCTAACATCCTACATTGTTTTACTATTATATTTTGTCTGAATTCTGTGCCTCTCCCACCGCCACTAACATGCCAGTCCTGGGTTCCCATGAAGTCGGCCCCATCCCAAAATGACTTCCTCTTTCCTCATCATGACTTCGGTTTCCTCATCAACCATATTGCCGACTTTTCGAATTACCGGGATACAGTGACTGCGAAGATTAAAAGCTTCCCTGTACTTCAGGCGGTCAGTACAATGCTTGACTCATGGCCACTGCTGCAAATGGAGAAACTGGGGCACAGCCAAGAAGAGTCCTCAGGATCACACAGCTAGGGATCCCCATGTCTTACCGCACCATTCTGCTTGAGCCACTACCAATCTCCAAGGTATTTCAAGCACAAACCAGGAATGTATGCAGGTGGCAAGGAATCGCTTGATGCCTGACACAGCGATAGTGAGAAGCGCTGTAGGGAGACGTCAGGTTGTCTGCCTAATCGCGATAATCCTGTCTATCTGGACTCCCATACCCTGATCAGTTCCGTGCTCCTTTACAGGCCCCTGACGTCTGGGTCCTCACCTGATTTCTCCACTTTCACCTTCACCGGAAACATGGTTTGTGTCTGGGGTCTCGCTAGCTGGGTCGGAGGAGCCCCCAAAATCCTAGGGTCACAAGTCAAGGCCACAAGCTGACGGTGAGCGGTCAAATATAAGCTTCGTGTTCGGTAGGTCCTCCGCCCTGGGCAACCTGTAGCTCCCCTCGGTGGGCAACCCATCAGCAGTCGCTTGTTCCCATTAGTCAGTGTAACTGTCGATCTCATACTCTGACCAATTGACAGCTAGCACCATCGGCTCTCAGTCCTAAGTCCCACCTTCCTGGGAATCCATTTCCGGAAACAAACTAACGACACCTCGGAGAGCTTTCTGGGAGGTGTAGTTTTAGCTCCGGAGATTGAGCGCCTGCGTCGCGCGAGGCATGGTGGGAGATACAGGATTGAGGCACCGCGAAGCTTTTTGGAACCTGTAGTGTTAGTACCTTTGAGTAACACCCACTTAGGTATTAACTGGGCTAATTTAACCAAGAGGGGGTCCCTCTTGGTCCAAACTGGAAGACAAGCCTGGAATTAGGTTTCGTTCCCTCTTAGCACTCGTTAGGCGCTAGCTACCCATTAATCTCCTGTCAAGCACAACCTCATTCACTTGGCAGATATTTATCAGTGTCCAAGTCAACCTTATAGGTACTGGAGACAATCAGTGTACAAAACAAACAAATATATTTGCCCTAATAGAGTTTATATTTTAGAGGATGGGAGATAAACAAGTAAAACATTTTAGATGAAATGTAGTAGGGAAAGAATATAGCCTGAAGGAACATATTGAGTACCAAGGTAAGGATTGAAATTTTAAATAGGATGGTCAAGGAATTGTTCTCTAATAAAGCAGACATCTTCTTCAGAAAATGGTAAATTTCAATTTACTACATATGCCTTAACTACATATGAACCATGGTCCACATTTCAGATGAGAATACTGATGTCAAATGGGAAAGTACTGTTTTCTAACTGACAAGAATACCAGTACAGGATAGCAGCCCCTAGTAATAGAAACATTATTCCTTTCTTGGTTCTGCATCTGTAAAATAAGTTTCTTGCACAGAACAGCTCCTATTTCAGAGGGTTATGAGTAGTATTCAGTGAGAAAATGCCCATAATGTGTGAAACACTAAGCCTGAACAAAGTAAGCATTCAATGAATGTTTATAAATATTAATAATCATTTTCTGTTTCAATGTCCAAAACATCCCAGGAGTCAACATAGAGAATTAGGGTTATTTATTGGGGGGTGTCAACAGAGAAAATAGGAGATGGGAATAAGAGCCCATCCTGGGAGAATGATCAGGTCTTAGGCCTGGGCAAAAGAAGTTGTCAGGGGGTACCCAGGGGTATGGTGAAGGAGAGGTAGTCCCCAAGGGCGCCCCAACGGGACCGGTAGATCTGGAAGATGGTGATCCAGGTGGTGAGTATAATTACCCAGAAGAGGAAGCCCACAGCTGAGCGCCAGACATCTGTAAGGGGTAATAAGAGTGGGAAAAGTTGGCTTCACATGCTTTCTGGTCATCCCCAGACCAGCTCTCTCTTCTCTTCTACAGAGCCCTAGAATTCTGAAACTTCCATCATCGCCCCCCACCAAAGTTCCAGGTTTCCACCCCCCCACCCCCAAGGTCTTCTTTCAACCATGCCCTGGACTCACAGCCTTTGATTTGGCTCTGCTCTGTGTACGCCGGTACAAGGAAGGCCTCTCGGAAAAACCAGAAGATGTTGACCAACCAGAGAAAAGGCAGGAAAGCAAACCCACCTGCAGAGAAAAAAAAACAAAAACTGGGACATAAGGCAATGAGTATCCTCCCTAATACCCATCTAGAGGACTTATTTGGAAGGTCCTCTCCCACACCCAAGTTCAAACTGAGATCTCTGCTATTTGGGACTCAGGTATTGGGGCTCCTCCATAGGATCCAGGAATCTGATTCCTCAGCCCTCTCTTTCTCAGGACCCAGGAGTCCAGTCCCCAAATCCCCTCCTCTCTTGAGACCAAGAAGTTGAGGCCCAGCCTCCTTCTTCCTCGGGACCCAGGCCTTTCCCTCAGACCCAGGAATCCTCGCCCTCAGCCGCTTCGTCCGTCTTAGATCCAAGAATCCAGGCCCAGAGACCCTATTCCCAACCCCTCTCCTGGGATCCTGGGAGACTGGTCCTTACCCAGGTAGTACTTCCGGCACAAATTCAACTTCTCCTCGTTGGACACCCGCTCCAAGTTCATAGTTGCGTTGGGGCCGGGGAGTCCCTGAGGGGACAAGACCCGAGGCTTGACACTACAAATGCAAGGATCGCAAAAATCCACGCCCCTTAAACAAAACAAACAAATTAAAGTGTAGGTTTGCTAAAAGTGCGGCACCCTCGCCCCCACCAGCAAGCCGAATGGGTTGAGGGCTCTTTATGTTTATTAGGATTCATCAAAAGACCCGCATCTCACCTGGCGTGTTTACTTTCTCCGGGCTGGATGTCTTTGCCACTTTCAACTACCGACGTTTGCGTGTGATGCCCCAAGTATCTCTGGAGTTCGTAGTCTTTTTTGATAGGCAGCGCTGCACGCATGCGCTTTCAGGGAATTCCTGTTGGTGAGTCTGCCGAGAGCGCAGGCCTTCAACACGCAAGCGCACTATGGAGTTTCTGAGGGCAGAGAAAAACTACACTTCCCGATGGTCTTAAGCAACGGAAGTGATTTAAGAGAAGAAAGCGAGTGTTAGAGGGTTCGGGTAAAAATAGCAGAATATTTAACTTCGGTATCCTGGACTGAGGACACGTGAGAATGGGTGCAGGCAATGGCCATCTGGGGGCCGGGAACGCCGCACTTGGTTTCCTCGTCCTAGGCGGAGTGGGACGGTGTTTCTGGGGTGTCCGGCCTTCGGGCCCTCGGTTCACCTCTGTCTCTGCATCTTTTCCGGGTTAACTGCTCTTTTTAAGATCGGGGTCAGCTGGCTACACAACAAACCGACTTTCTGGCTCGGAGCCTGAGGGGTTAACGCCTCGCGGCTGTTCCCCTCTTGCTGTCCATCATTACGAGGTCCCGCCTTTTCCGGATTTCTTAGGCCCACCCTATCGCCGGCTCTTTTCCTGTCGGACCTGTGCAACTTCCTCCCGCAACCTTCAGGCCCTCCTCCCACCAGCAGTCTACACCCCTGGGTTGTCTCTCACTTCTTGGCCCTCTTCTGGTTTCCTTAGAGACAGGCATCGCTGATGTATTCAGGATGCTTAGGACTCTTTTCTGGTGCAAGGTCCCACCCCAACCCCTTTGCACGTAGTACCCCCTCTTTGCTCACGTCCTGCTCCTCTTAAATTTATTCATAATCTTGTGATGCTCAACCTGCATTGGAATCCACAGAACACCTCCCAAACCTAGAAGGATCGCACTGTGAGTGAGGGACCGGTCTTAGGGGAAAGAGACCTCAGCAGACCATCCCGAGTCTACCTTACCCACCTCCTCCAGGTCACGTGAGCAATGTGGAGGTGCAAGAACACATTTCTCTGAGGCTGGCAGGTTGAGTTTCTTGTGGGCCAGGAGTTCAGCTGAATACCTCCTGGTCTCCGCAGGAGTTCCTGGAACTGCAGGAGAAGTATGGAGAGATTGAAGTGATGAATGTGTGCGACACTTAGGAGACCACCTCATGGGCAATGTCTGTGTCAAGGTGCCTGTTTCCCCCGCATTAGAGCCCAGAGGTGGAGGCACTTCAATGCCTAAAGGCCACCACTGAAGCCCCATAACTTGAGGTCCATCACTAAATCCAGTCCAGCCCCAGCACTGCTAACTAATCCCCTGAATATTTCAGAGTTTGCTGACCCTGATTGGCTTTCCAGTCAGTTTGGGTGTGAAGAGGATGTCAAGCAGACAGCTGAATTCAGTAACTGTTCGTTCAATGGGCAGGCTGTGCATACTGAGCTGTCTCCTGTCACTGACTTCTGGGAGTCATGTTGTTGGCAGTAGGAGATGGGGTATGGCAGTACTGGGGTGGGTTGGGCACCTGGAATCCCAGACTCCTGTGTATATGTGTTGGTGGGGCTGTCATTCATAATGTTCTTCATCCATCCATCTATCCTCAACCCAGAGAAAGCACCGTTGGTGGCTTCTGCAACTTCATTCACCTGCAACCCACCTCCCGGAACCTCAGCGGGCAGCTCTATGGGCAGGAACCCAGGGGCAGGTATCAAGACTTCTCAAACCCTAATGCTCCTATACCCGGAAATGAACCTGATCCTATGCCCCCAAACAATGTCTCAAGCCTTTGGTATCCTAACACCAGCACTGAGCCCCCATTCCAGACCAGCACCTAAGTCCCAATTCCCAAATCATACTGAACCCCAAACCCAACACCAGCTTGGATCTCTAATCCTGAAATTAGCCCCTGAGTACCTATCCTGAGACCACATCCAGGAACTCTAGTTACTTCATCACCTGCTCTGCTCTATGCCTCTAACCCTCCTCTCCCCACTCCTGTCCCCAGGTCACCCCTGAGGTCTCATACCCACCACCATCCCCAAGAAAGAAACCAGTGATGTTTCCCAGGTGACTAGCATGGCCGCTTCTGAGATCCTGGCCCTCTTGTCCTCCACACCTGACAGGCACAGACGTTCCTGGCCAGAACCTCTCCTCAAAGCTCCCTCAAGTTCCCAAGGTCATCTTTCCCAACCTCTGGGGTCTATCGCCCCTCCCCTAATAAAGTTCGGTATTGAGGGTTTAGAGCTTGAGCCTAGCCTTGGGCTGGAGTTTCCTTCCTCCTTCATATCTGATGAAAAGGGGAAGTAGGCGGGTATCTAGCCACAACTGCAGCTGAGAAGCTTCAGTAGAGTAAGGTCCCAATGCCCTATAAATCCCCAAGTGGGCCTGGTGAGCTGGGGCCAACTTGTGCTGGAAACTTCAGCACATCCATCTGAGGCTTTTCAGGGGAAAGATACCTGGTTGCGGCAGGTTGGAGGATTCCCAGCCCAGAGGAGATTGGGGTTAGGAGCTAAGGTAAGGTCACTTGGAGTTGAATGGGAGTCTCTAGTGGATGAGACCTGGGTCCTCCATCCCAGTTCCCTAGATGAAAGTTGATAGTACCTAATACTTAAGTTTACCATGTGGCAGGTGCTGTCCTAAGAGATTTTTATTTTATTTATTTTTAGAGAGATGGGAAGGGAGAAAGAGGGAGAGAAACATCGATGTGTGAAACATCGATTAAGTCGCCTCTTGCATGCCCCAACCTGACCTGGGGATCTGACTGGCAACCCAGGCATGTTCCCTGATTCAGTCAAACCAGCAATCTTTAAGTTTGCAGGCTGACAGTCTGCTGAGCCACACCAGCCAGGGTCTAAGAGCTTTTTTAAAATCATTTTTTATTTTTCAATTACAGTTGATTCTAGTAAGGGTTTTAATTCTTCATAATAGCCCTATGAGACAGGTGGTATTAGCCTACTCTATGGATGGAACATAGCAGAAGTGGGATATGTAGCCACACTGGCTTCAGAGCCCTTGCTCTAGCAATCTTGAGGCCTTATGGTCTCTGATAATGGGCGCCAGAAGGACTGGGGGCTGGGGGTAGATTCCTGACTTCCGCAGGGGCCTAGGGGGTTCCTATGCCCTCATATCCACCACTTCCTTCTTCCTGGTTTCCTGGAAAAGTGTCAGAGGTGCTGTGGCGGAAAGTCCTGTGGTTGCTGGCCCCCTGGCTGCAGGCCCTGCCCGGATGAGGCCCCAACGCCTCCTCTTGTCTGCGGCACTGTTCTTGGCCCAGACTGTGCCTCAGGAAGCCTCCCAGCACTGTGGCCGCCTGGAGTACTGGAACCCCGACAACCTGTGCTGTGGCAGCTGTCTGCAGCGCTTCGGTCCGCCCCCATGCCCCGGTGAGGAGCAGGAATTGGGCATATATGTACGCTTATGTATGCATATGTTTCTGCTGAGCAAGGGGATGATAGGAAACCAGAGGACAGAGGTTTGGGAGCCTCGCTTTGGGGTAGAGCTGATGGGCCTTAAGCACATAAGGCAGGTATGGGGGTTGAGCCAGTGAAAATGGGTTACATGAGGGCCACCACTAAGGTTTTGTGGCCTGTTAGGTGGAGTCCAGGCAGTGAGGGAGCGGTGGTGACCTATGCAAGTCAAGTCCCTGTGTGGGCGCAGCTTGGTGTAGAAGCGGGAGGGGCATTAAAGGGGTAAGGCGTGTGGAGAAATGGTTCCAAGACTGTCAGGGCAAGTGTTGGGAGGGAAGGGTGGAGGGGTGGACAGGTCCGCTAATGGGTGGGCAGAGTACAAGGTATGAGGCCTGCTGGGGTAGGACAAAGGAGAATGGACCTTGCAGAAGTGGGTCTTGGAAGCCACATAAGAGACCTTGTCTTCCCCTAGACTACGAGTTTTCGGAAAACTGCGGGCTCAATGACTTTGGTGATCACGTAACGCACCCCTTCAAAAAGTGTCCTCATGGACAGTGCAACCCTGACAACGCAGAGCTATGTAGTCCCTGTGGCAGCAGAGCCAGGGTCCCCACTCCCGGGGCAACCCAGCGGCAGCACCGGCGGCGCTGCAGAGAGGTGCTGCTTGGGCTAGGGTGTAGCCTGTGGGAGGTGGGGTGGGTGTGGTCTGGATCAAAGGAGGTGGGTAGGCCCCCACTGAAGGGGCTCAGGTGGGGACATAATTATCTGGAGGTTGACTAGTTAGGGCTAAAGTAGTGAGTGGACTGGATCAGGCAGGGAAGTGGCCCTGTGGAGGATGAGGAGGGCAGGTTTGGGCTGAGGCGGTAGGAGTGGGCAGGGTGTGCCTCCTGCTTCATTCCAACCCCCTATTTCCAGAAGCCGGCTCCTACCAAAGAACCCTGTCCCCTGAAGCCTGAAACACCCAGCGTCCTGAGCTCCCAAGAATCCAGCTCACTGACAGTTTCCAGCCCACCACGGACATCTGAGCACACTGCCCCTTGGCAGGCCTTGCTAACTATTGCCCTGCCCCTAGTGCTGGTTCTGCTTGTGACCTCAGCCATCATCCTCTGGCTTGCTCAGCAAAGGCATAGCTCCCACCACCACGGGAAAGCTGTCCACCCTTATTCTGGTATTGCTCGCGGTGATCCCAACATCTCTCCAGGTTCTCTGGAGGCACCAGAGGCAGGTGACTGACTCAAGGAAGGTGTCTGCTTCCATTCCTGGGCAGGTGGTTGGTTAGTCTTGGGCATGCTGAGGGAAAGATGGACTGGGAAACTCACCCTTTTGCCCCCTCATGCCTCCTTTTGTCTCCCAGAGCTGCCAAATCTCACATCACAGCCCCTGTCTCGCCTCCTGGATGAGCTGGAGGTGCTGGAGGAGCTGATTGTACTGCTGGACCCTGAGCCTGGGCCAGGTGGGTCATTGGCCTGTGGTACCACTCGACACCTGGCTGCAAGATATGGACTGCCTGCTGCCTGGTCCACATTTGCTTACTCACTGAGACCCAGTCGCTCACCTCTGCGAGCACTGATTGAGATGGTGGTAGCAAGGGAGCCCTCTGCTTCTCTGGGCCAGCTTCACATACACCTGGCCCAACTAGGGCGGGCAGATGCACTACAGGTGTTGTCCAAGCTTGGCTGATCTGAGGCACACCAGGCCTAGCACTCCATCAGGATTCCCTTGAAGTGCCTGTGGGTGGGGGGAAGTTGACCCTTGGGTGGATGACCCTTATTCCCTTGAAGAGCCTATTCCCTACCAGACTCATTAAAGGTGCCCTCTCAAAACACAGTCCTATTTGGGACAAGATGTCCTCATTCCCCAACCCCCTCAGAAAAGGGCCCATTTACCCTACACATAAGACCAGATGTGGGAAAGCTGGCCTCAGGTGCCTCTGGGGAACCAGGGTCCCCTCTTGAAAAATACTCCTGCTACCCTTGAGAGAGCTCATCCACAGGAAGCCAGCTGGGTTCTACCTAGTAATATGTAGAATATTTGTTGCTCTGAAGCCTCGACAGGTCCAACAACTTATTTCTAATCCCGAACAGTGGCTTCTTACCTACTTGTTGAAGCTGATGGTTTCCTTGGCTCAAAATGGGTATGGGGCACAGAGAAATGGGAGCTCCTACCTGCCCCCAGCATCATACAAACTGGAAGGCCACCTCTCCAAACATTGACAGACTTTATTGTGGGGGGAGGGGTTCCCACCTGGGATCCCACCCTCTTAAATAAAAAAGTGCATAGAAAAGAAGGGATTTAGAAATTTTTGTACAATATCTACATTCTGGGCCCCCAGGGCAGGAAAGGAGCAATTGCTGGGTGGGCTGGAAGGGTGGGGAACAGGGCCCTCGACACCTGCATGCCCACATCCACCCTGAACATGAGAGTGGGGGTGAGATGCTCTGGAAGGGACTAGGGAATCCTCCAAACGGGTGACATGGCAGCGGGGGTGGCGGGGTGGTTGTGTGTGGGCAGCCACAGTTTCAGTTAAGGAACCGACGGCAGCGCTTGGCGCCACAGTTGCAGGGCAGCTTGTTGCTGGCATCCTCAATGGGGAACTTGTAGTCATAGGTGAGCTCCTCACCACGCAGGATGCGGCGCAGGGCAAAGATGACGATATGCTTCTGGCCTTCCACGTGGATGACTCGAGAGAAGCAGTTGGGCTCACAAGAGTGGTTGATGAAGCGGGCGGCATTGCCATGCATTGTGGCATCCACCACATCGAAGTCATCCATTCGGAACATGTAGCACCCAATACCCTACAGGGACAAGGTGGGGGCGGTCAGGTGCTCTGTTCCCATGGGTAGGTCCTGCTTCACCCACCTCATTCTCATGACCTGGCAGAGCCCACCTTCCCATCGTAGAACTTCTCCCGCTTGTCAGTCAGCACAGAGCGAATGACAATACCAGAGTATTCAATGACCATCTCGCCAGCATCGATGTTGCGCTTACAGAACAGGCCCCGCCCATGGATCGCAGATCTGCAGGGTAGGATGGGCAAGGGGAGCTCAGGGGGGAAGGGGGACAGAACCAAGGCAGGCCCATACCAGGGCACCTGTCATCCACCCAAGGGGCATCCTCCCCCCAACTTCACTAACCTATAGACACCCACAGCCTCTTTGGATGTCTTCTTGAGGTGGCGAAAGCGCATGGCCATGGGCAGCTCCAGGCTGGTGGCACGTCTGGTGGGGGACAGCAGTGTCACACAGGCTGGTACCCAGGAATGACCTCTCCTGCCCCTTGTCACCCTCTTTATGGACCTTCCAAATGACCCCAGCATGCTGGCCTGCCCTCCATACCTAGTTGATCTGAGCTGCACCTCATCCTCCTCCTCATCACAGGTGGCTCCCTCAGGTAGTACCCTGTGCTGGGAGGCCAGGAAGTTGAACATGTCAAAGGTACACTTCCTGCAGGTAGAAGGGAAAAATGGAGGGAGGTTCATAGCCATTACTTTGAGATGCCACCCCCCTATTCTTGGCCTGGACCTGCTGCTGGCAGAATAGGAGAAATGCTACTACTATTGAAGACAGCAAAAAAGGGGAATGAAGGAGGTTCATTCTTCTGATATGAACTTTAGAAATAATTCCCGGAATGACCTAGTATTCTTCTCTCAGGCCTCAGTTTCTGATCTGTAGACTTAATTTCTACCCTCAAGATTGCCCATAGGGGTCCCCCGACCCAGGCATCACACCCCAGACCTCTCACCGAAGATACACCTCGGCTCGGGCTGCCCCATGGGGATTCAGGGGTGGCTCTTCCTGGCCCTCTCCCTGCTGGTGGTAACGGAACTTATAATGCTGGCAGCGCTGGGCCCCAGGCAGCTGCTCTGCCAGGAAGATGACAGCATCATGGTGGATGCCCAGGAGCCTTGCCCCACTCATTCCTGAGAAGAGTCAAAGGTGAGAATGCACAAGTCACATCAGAGACCCATCTTGCCCTCAGGAAGTCATCCCAGCCCCCGAAGTCCCTGTGGAACCCCCACTTACCACTAAAGGAGAGATGTCTGAGCCGGGCATGCCCTCGGGCCTCTTGCACCTTCTCAATTAGAGTTCTCCACGCCCCTGAGGAGAAGGCAGGGCCAGCGCAGACTCAGGATGGTATTCTATGCGAGACCTTCCCTCCCTGTCACCACTACACCTGACTCACCCTCCAAACTCTCTGCCTCCACGCTGAACCCATCCTCACTGCTGATCTCGAAGCGCAGATGTGGGCCAGCGCGTTTCGGGGCCTGGTTCTCTTTATCCTCTGGGGATGGAGGCTCTTCCTCAGAGCTTGAAGCGTCACCTGGTCCCAAGGAGCAGGTCAAAGTAGGTAAGGATCACCCCTCCTGGAGTCAAAACCTCCCAGTTTCCCTCTGCCCTCTTTCCCTGGGCACAGACTGGGTCTGAAGTCCCCTGCTCTAAATGCCCAATGAACCCTACAGACCAAACTTAATTTTTTCCTGAAGGTTCTGTAGTCCCTTTCTGTAGGACTTCTGGTGGCCCTACAGGACACACTATGGCTTACTCACACCCAGTATACCATAAACTTCCACGCTTCATTCCTCTGCCTCACAAAATAGTACAAACATATCAGTATTATAGGACTGTACTCACAGAATCAAATACTTGTGCATTATGAGCTATTTAAGGTGTTTTTCAGCAGCTAAAGATTTTAAAGATAGAGCAGACAGGATGTACTGATGTAGAAGATGTAGATGTGAGAGAAAGAGAGGGAGGTGTCAAGGAAAACTCTTGAGGTTTGGGGCTGGAACAACTGGAGGGTTAAAACTTATTTACAGAGATAATGAGGGTTGGGGAGAAACAAGTTTGGGGTAAAGGTTGGGAGCTCAGTTTGGAACATGCTGAACCTGAGATTCCTCTTAGAAAAATCTCCCTGGCAACTTGCTGGTTGAGATGGTAAGCAGGCACCAGGATAAAGGAGTGTGGCTAGGAACTTGGGGGCTATTAAAATTAGAAATGGGATTTAGGGCCACAAAATTAGACAAGAGCAGCCTGGACATGCCAAAGTTGACAGGTCGGGGCAATGAGGAGGCACAACCAGAGAGATGAGGAGAATGATGGGGTCCTGGAAGCCAGGAAAGGAAGTGATTCAAAGAGGGAGAGACCAGCCCATCAACTGTTGATCAGTTTGTGGGCTGAGGACTGAACCACTGTATTCGGGTGGAGCGGGGGTAATGTAAGTTTGAGTGCAGCACACTTTAGGAGAGGCAGGACTCACATGGTCACTCTCCCCTCATCACTTCTCTGGGCCAATCTGCCCACATGCCCTCTTTCCCCTAAGCAAGATTCTAAACCTGACTGCTACTGTGTGATCCACATCATTTCTAGGCCTCAATCCTGAGTCCACCTGACTTCTACCTCTCCTTAGCTCTCCCCCATCCTCACCTCCATTCTGTTCCCTGAGTAACATTCTCTCTGCCTTCTTTCCCAGTGCTTGTTCTTGGATGCAGTACACTACCTAATGTACATGTATGTTTCCTCTACCAAAATGTGGTATGCTCTCTAAGGGCAGTCAGGGACCTGTCTGTCATGGTCACTGTCATCATCATGTCCTCTCTGACCCCATAAGCAGTCTTTCAGTTAAGTCATCTCAGTCTACCTCATGCCACTTCCATGCTCAGCAGCTGTGATCTATGTAATGAGAAAATTCCCATGTTGGGACAGGACTAGGGCCACTAAAAATTCCAAACCTCAGGCTGTTTGATAACGAGCTTGCTTGGCTGCAGCCCTTTCCCTCTCCCTGCCCTCCTTGACCTACAGAGTATTTCTCTTCCAGCTTCACTGAGATTGTCAGCCAAATGATTCCAAGTGCCCTCATCTTGTGCACTTCAGGTGCACCTAACCTCACCTCTCTTCCACCTCAGCGGTCTCCTGTTCAACCCAAACACCATGCCTCCCCTCACCTCCTTTGCCCTCATCCTTAGCTTTGCTGTCTCAGCCCTCATACCAAACCCCTCTAATCTGTTGGCCCTCCTCCTCTAAGACTCCTAGCTGAGCTTTTCAGCAAAGTGGTTGGGTGTTGTTTTGATTTCTTCATCAACCACTGTCTTTGATTCTAAACTATGACACAACAGCCTCCCTACCTCGTCCCACTGGCCCACACAGTACACACTAATCCTAGACCCTGGAATGTTTAGGGCTCTCTTTGGCAACTGTGATTGCTGACTACTTCCTTCCCCTGAGCCTCTGGGATACCACTCTCCTCTGACCACCTTTCTACTGTTCCCACCCGAACTTTGTCTTTGGTTTTACTAGGTACCTAAACCTCTGACCCTGGAAGACTAGGCTCTGAAGCGCTCCCTGGGGTTCTTGGGCATACTGGACAAGGCACTTTCAGAAGCCCTTTCACCTCAAACTGAAACTTCCTGTTTCTGTCACAGACCATGAGCTCCCTGAGGGTATCTCCTTAATTTTAGCACCCAGCCTCAGGCTTGTTCCCAGGTGGGGGTGCAATGTATAACACCCAGTAGTTGTTTCTCTTTTTTACTTATTTTTAAAGATTTTTATTGACTGACTTTACAAAGAGAAAGGATGGGGGGGCGGGGGAGAAACACTGACTTGTTATTCCACTTATTTACGCATTCGCTGGTTGCTTTTTGTATGTACCCTGACCAGGAATTGAACCTGCAACCTTGGTGTACTGGGACGATGACACTCTGAGTTACCCTGCCAGGGACCATTAGGTATTTTTCAAAGTGTATCAATTCTTCACTGTATCTATCAGTTACTCAGCTGAGCAAGCACATGGAAGAAAACAGAGAGAGGAAAAGGCCAGCCCCTACCTGAGTAGTGGTGCCACTGGGGTTCAAGCAGCAGGTCAGAGGAACCATCAGGAGCCTGGGGAGGACCATCTTCTGGAAGTGGCAGCAGAGGAGACTGGTCCTGGAGGGGCCTATGAGGAGAGACCTGTCAGAAGAGAGAAGGGACAGAAATCCCAGAGCTTCCAGGGAAAAGGCATTGGCCACTCACCTCAGGGTTTCCTCCCCAGGATCATCCAGGTTGAGAATTCCACGCACTGTGGGCGTTTTCATCCTCACTCGGCTAAACCTGGTGGTGGTGGGGGGAACCACGAGAAGCCTGAGCTGCCTCCTTCTGCCCAAGTCCCTTGCCCACCTCCACGGCCTTAGCATACTCACTCACCCGCTGCCACTAAGCCCTGGACCCTGAGGAGGATCCT